AATGTTTCTCCATCTGTTTGTGTCCTCTCTGATTTCGTTGAGCAGTGGTTTGTAGTTCTCCTTGAAGAGGTCCCTTATGTTCCTTGTGAGTTGTATTCCAAGGTATTTTATTCTTTTTGTAGCAATTGCGAATGGCAGTTCGCTCTTGATTTGGCTTTCTTTAAGTCTGTTATTGGTGTAGACGAATGCTTGTGATTTTTGCACATTGATTTTATATCCTGAGACTTTGCTGAAGTTGTTTATCAGTTTCAGGAGTTTTTGGACTGAGGCGATGGGGTCTTCTAGGTATACTATCATGTCGTCTGCAAATAGAGACAATTTGGCTTCCACCTTTCCTATTTGAATACCCTTTATTTCTTTTTCTTGCCTGATTGCTCTGGCTAGAACTTCCAGTACTATATTGAATAGGAGTGGTGAGAGAGGGCATCCTTGTCTAGTACCAGATTTCAAAGGGAATGCTTCCAGTTTTTGCCCATTCAGTATGATATTGGCTGTTGGTTTGTCATAAATAGCTTTTATTACTTTGAGATACGTTCCATCGATACCGAGTTTATTGAGGGTTTTTAGCATAAAGGGCTGTTGAATTTTGTCAAATGCCTTCTCTGCGTCAATTGAGATAATCATGTGGTTTTTGTTTTTGGTTCTGTTTATGTGGTGAATTACATTTATAGACTTGCGTATGTTGAACCAGCCTTGCATCCCTGGGATGAATCCTACTTGATCATGATGAATAAGTTTTTTGATTTGCTGTTGCAATCGGCTTGCCAATATTTTATTGAAGATTTTTGCATCTATGTTCATCATGGATATTGGCCTGAAGTTTTCTTTTCTCGTTGGGTCTCTGCCGGGTTTTGGTATCAGGATGATGTTGGTCTCATAAAATGATTTGGGAAGGATTCCCTCTTTTGGGATTGTTTGAAATAGTTTTAGAAGGAATGGTACCAGCTCCTCCTTGTGTGTCTGGTAGAATTCGGCTGTGAACCCATCTGGACCTGGGCTTTTTTTGTGAGGTAGGCTCTTAATTGCTGCCTCAACTTCAGACCTTTTTATTGGTCTATTCATAGTTTCAGCTTCCTCCTGGTTTAGGCTTGGGAGGACACAGGAGTCCAGGAATTTATCCATTTCTTCCAGGTTTACTAGTTTATGTGCATAGAGTTGTTTGTAATATTCTCTGATGATGGTTTGAATTTCTGTGGAATCTGTGCTGATTTCCCCTTTATCATTTTTTATTGCATCTATTTGGTTGTTCTCTCTTTTCTTTTTAATCAATCTGGCTAGTGGTCTGTCTATTTTGTTGATCTTTTCAAAAAACCAGCTCTTGGATTTATTGATTTTTTTGAAGGGTTTTTCGTGTCTCAATCTCCTTCAGCTCAGCTCTGATCTTAGTAATTTCTTGTCTTCTGCTGGGTTTTGAGTTTTTTTGATCTTGCTCCTCTAGCTCTTTCAATTTTGACGATAGGGTGTCAATTTTGGATCTCTCCATTCTCCTCATATGGGCACTTATTGCTATATACTTTCCTCTAGAGACTGCTTTACATGTGTCCCAGAGGTTCTGGCACGTTGTGTCTTCATTCTCATTGGTTTCGAAGAACTTCTTTATTTCTGCCTTCATTTCGTTGTTTACCCAGTCAACATTCAAGAGCCAGTTGTTCAGTTTCCATGAAGCTGTGCGGTTCTGGGTCGGTTTCTGAATTCTGAGTTCTAACTTGATTGCATTATGGTCTGAGAGGCTGTTTGTTATGATTTCAGTTGTTTTGCATTTGTTGAGCAGTGCTTTACTTCCAATTATGTGGTCAATTTTAGAGTAGGTGTGATGTGGTGCTGAGAAGAATGTGTATTCTGTGGATTTGGGGTGGAGAGTTCTGTAAATGTCCACCAGGTTTGCTTGCTCCAGGTCTGAGTTCAAGCCCTGGGTATCCTTGTTGATTTTCTGTCTGGTTGATCTGTCTAGTATTGACAGTGGAGTGTTAAAGTCTCCCACTATTATTGTGTGGGAGTCTAAGTCCTTCTGTAAGTCATTAAGAACTTGCCTTATGTATCTGGGTGCTCCTGTGTTGGGTCCATATATGTTTAGGATCGTTAGCTCTTCTTGTTGTATCGATCCTTTTACCATTATGTAATGGCCTTCTTTGTCTCTTTTGATCTTTGTTGCTTTAAAGTCTATTTTATCAGAGATGAGAATTGCAACTCCTGCTTTTTTTTGCTTTCCATTAGCTTGGTAAATCTTCCTCCATCCCTTTATTTTGAGCCTTTGTGTATCCTTGCATGTGAGATGGGTTTCCTGGATACAGCACACTGATGGGTTTTGGATTTTTATCCAATTTGCCAGTCTGTGTCTTTTGATTGGTGCATTTAGTCCATTTACATTTAGGGTTAATATTGTTATGTGTGAATTTGATACTGCCATTTTGATTCTAAGTGGCTGTTTTGCCTGTTAGTTGTTGTAGATTCTTCATTATGTTGAAGCTCTTTAGCATTCAGTGTGATTTTGGAATGGCTGGTACTGATTGATCCTTTCTATGTGTAGTGCCTCTTTTAGGAGCTCTTGTAAAGCAGGCCTGGTGGTGACAAAATCTCTGAGTACTTGCTTGTTCGCAAAGGATTTTATTCTTCCTTCACTTTTGAAGCTCAGTTTGGCTGGATATGAAATTCTGGGTTGAAAGTTCTTTTCTTTAAGGATGTTGAATATTGGCCCCCACTCTCTTCTGGCTTGTAGTGTTTCTGCCGAGAGATCTGCTGTGAGTCTGATGGGCTTCCCTTTGTGGGTGACCCGACCTTTCTCTCTGGCTGCCCTTAGTATTCTCTCCTTTATTTCAACCCTGTTGAATCTGACGATTATGTGCCTTGGGGTTGCTCTTCTTGCAGAGTATCTTTGTGGTGTTCTCTGTATTTCCTGCAATTGAGTGTTGGCTTGTCTTGCTAGGTGGGGGAAATTTTCCTGGATGATGTCCTGAAGAGTATTTTCCAGCTGGGATTCATTCTCTTCGTCCCCTTCTGGTACACCTATCAAACGTAGGTTAGGTCTTTTCACATAGTCCCACATTTCTTGGAGACTTTGTTCATTCCTTTTTGCGCTTTTTTCTCTGATCTTGGTTTCTTGTTTTATTTCATTGAGTTGGTCTTCGACTTCAGATATTCTTTCTTCTGCTTGGTCAATTCGGCTATTGAAACTTGCGTTTGCTTCGCGAAGTTCTCGTATTGTGTTTTTCAGCTCCTTTAATTCATTCATATTCCTCTCTAAGGTATCCATTCTTGTTATCATTTCCTCGAATCTTTTTTCAAATCTTTTTTCAAGGTTCTTAGTTTCTTTGCATTGATTTAATACATGATCTTTTAGCTCACAAAAGTTTCTCATTATCCATCTTCTGAAGTCTAATTCCGTCATTTCGTCACAGTCATTCTCCGTCCAGCTTTGTTCCCTTGCTGGTGAGGAGTTTTGGTCCTTTCTAGGAGGCGATGTGTTCTGGTTTCGGGTGTTTTCCTCCTTTTTGCGCTGGTTTCTTCCCATCTTTGTGGATTTGTCCACTGGTCGTCTGCGTAGTTGCTGACTTTTCGTTTGGGTCTCTGAGTGGACACCCAGAATGTTGATGATGAAGTATTTCTGTTGCTTGGTTTTCCTTCTACCAGTCTAGCCCCTTCGCTGTACGACTGTTGAGGTCCGCTCCAGACCCTGCTTGTCTGGGGTGCACCTCTAGTAGCCGTGGCACAGCGAGGGATGCTACCAGTTTCTTTTTCTGCTCTCTTTGTCCCAGGATGATGCCTGCCTAATGACAGTCTTTTGGATATAGAGGGGTCAGGGAGCTGCTTGAGGAGACAGTTTGTACTTTATAGGGGTTTAATTGCTGAGTTGTGCACTCTGTTGTTCATTCAGGGCTGTTAGGCTGCTATGTTTGATTCTGCTGCAACACAGCTCATTAAACAACCCTTTTTTTTTTCTCAAATGCTCTGTGTTGAGGGGTTTGGGCTTTATTTTTGGATGTCCGATCAGGTGTCCTGCCCAGCTCAAAGGCAGACTAGCCACTGTTTGGCTGCCGAGGCTCCGCCCTGCTGTTGAGTGATTCGCGCTGTTCCTGCAGGTTCTGCTGTGGTCTCCGCCACGTCCTGCGGCGGAGTCTCTTCGTTGTAGCATGTTGCCTCAGCAACGGCAGGCTGCGTCAGCAGTGGGCGTGTATCTCAGTAGGGACGGGTTGCCTCGGCAACGGCTGGCTGCGTCAGCAGTGGGCGTGTATCTCAGTTGGGGCGGGTTGCCTCGGCAACGGCTGGCTGCCTCAGCAGTGGGCGTGTATATCACTTGGGGCAGGTTGCCTCCGTAGTGGTGGATGCCCCTCCCCCACAGAGCGTCTCGGACCGTCTGCCCGGGATAGTTTGAAATCGCGGTTTTGTTCGTCCCACTGGGTATCCCAAACGATCTGTCCCTGCAATCCCCTGGGCTGGGCTACTGTGCAAGTCTCGTTCAGTCTCAAGTCCAGCCCTCTCAAGTCTCAGGTTGCCGGTTCAACAAGGCACCCGGACAACGCGCCCTGTGGGGATTGCTGGGTAGGGCCGGCCGCCGCCGCCCCGGCTGCCGGCTTCGCCAGGCAGACCTACTGCCTGGCGTCCCGTGTCTTTTTATACTTGGGAGTTTCCCCGTTCTGTGGGCAACAAAGATCAGTCTGGAAATGCAGCACTGACTCACCGTTTGCGAATTCAACGCGGGCTCCAATCCTGGGTTGTTCTCACAGCGCCATCTTGAGTCCCCTCCAGACCTTTCATTTAATAGGAGATGGGAACTGGAAAATAGGGAAATAATGGGATAACTAACCCCAAAACACGAGCTAATGACGGGAAGGAGTTTAATATTTTTGCTTGACTTAATTTTTATATTAAACATATTAATATTTTTCAGTAACCTGAAAATATTGAATATTTAGATTTGAGTTCTTAAATGTACAGATCATTTAGAAAAGAATAGTGTCTTAATCTTCCAAAGTGATTGTTACACTTTTTTTTCTCCATTTCAGAGATATTACATATGAAATATCAGTAGAAGCTATATCAACAATGGTTGTTTTCCTTTCCTGCCAACTTTTCCACAAAGAAGTTTTGCGACAGAGCATCAGCCACAAGTATTTGATGCGAGGTCCATGGTATGTTTCTACTTTAAATATGTCTAGTTTTTTCATTGTATAAAGTTGTATTTTTAGTCTTGTTTCTCATCTGAGTATTGTCTCGTATCTCCAACCAGGTATTTTCTCTAGTTGTTCTATAGTCTCTTTAAACCCAGTGCATAAGGAACCGCCTTCTGCTTTCCTGTGCAATCTACCCATCCTCCCTGTTCTTCCTGTCCCCCAGCTTCATTATCCTCTCCAGTGGTTGCTTCCTAAAATAAAAACTTTGAAATCATCTTTTTCTTTCTTCTCCTTCATTCACTATGTTTAAGCAGTCAAGTCATATTTGTTGTTCAAATTATTTTTGTGTCTTCTTCTTCTCACTAGTCCCTTTGAAACAAACTGTGATCTATACCCTGTCACCTTCTTTGGACTTCTCCAACAGCCTCTTCACTGACTCTTTCTACTTCGTTGAGCCTGCAGATAGTTACTGTGTGCTAACCACGTGCCAGGCATGTTAGGCTGTGAGACTGTGCTCTTGAGCAGAAGCTTAAACAATCTCCTAGGGGGTGGGGATGTAAATGACTAACACACATGCACATACCTGATTTTGTATTAACATAATCTTCACACTTTAAAAATCTTAAACAAATCCAAATGAAGTACCTTTGAGGAAGTTCTCAGGTAGTGGGGAGCTTTGTCTTCTTCATGTTTTTTTGCTACCGTGATTATTCCTGTGACATGTATGTTCTTTGAACATATTTGAAAATCACTGATAAGAGGCAGAGGACCTGGGCTTTGGAGACAGAGGATTGCATCGGAACGGTCTCTGACTGTGCTGGCATCGTGGGACTGTGTGCATCTTTGCTAAAACAAGATTGTGAACTTCATTCCTTATAGTGCCAGAAGTATTCAAGTTGCTTTTTAAAAATAGGCATAGAGAGTGTTAGTGTTCTTATTTTCTAAGGAAGTTTTTATAGTATCACTATGGTGCCAAATATTTAAACCATACTATGTTCTTTACTGATTTTTGTGGTTCATCTTGGAAACCGTATTTCAAAAGCTCAATAGTACATTAAAGAATCTGTTAAAAGGTTTACTCTAGATTTCAGAAATTAGTTTAATACTAATTGAATAATTGAATAATTTCATACTTAAAAAGTATAGTCTTTTTGTTATTTTAAAATAATTGCTTTTTTCTACTTGTTCTATATTACTACTTCCCTTCAACTGCCAGGTAATGTATTATGCACTAATTTCATAATAGCTCACAGTGTTATATAGAAAACAGATAAAGTAACCGAAGCGCGAGAGTGCAAGTGGACTGGGCATGGTGGTTCATGTCTGTAATCCCAGCACTTTGGGAGGCTAAGGCTGGAGGATCGCTTGAGTTTAGGAGTTTGAGACCAGCCTGGGCAATATAGTGAGACCTTGTCTCTCCCCGCAGCAAAGAAAAAGTATTTAATTAATTTGATCAATATCTTATGATGTGATAAGAGGAAAAGCCAGGATTAAGCCTCAAAATTGGTCTCCAAGCCATGGTCTTACTATTATGTGACAGTGCTCAATTTCTGTGAGCTGTGCCAATAACCCTTTTATATTAATACATAGTGTTAGGCAGAGTTATTTCTATGTTGTTATTCAGAATTAGATGACTCCCATAAATATGAGTTTGATTTTTTTCCTTTTTGTGTAGTCTTCCGTACACCAGCAAACTTGTGAAGACCTTATTGTATAACTTTATCAGACAAGAAAAGCCACCTCCTCCAGGAGCCCATGTTTTCCCTCAACAATCGGATGGGGGAGGACTGCTTTATGGACTTGCATCAGGAGTAGCAAGTAAGTTTTATCAGATTTTTTTCAATTCTTTGGTGTACATAAATTTTGTTTATTTAGGCATAAGAAATTCTGTTTGCTTGGCTGCCACTGTTAACAGTTACATTGAATTTGTGTAGCTGGTTAAATGTGAAAACAAAGTAATTAAAATATTAATCTTTCTGTGTTATGTAGTGATTTTTGTTAAATATGCAAATAATGAATCTATTACCTACAAAACATTGTTTTTCAGGAAGAATGTTTACACATAAATATGTATATTGCATGAATTCTAGCCATACAGTAAAATAAGATTAAGCATTTGTAAACTTATAACACTACTTGTGTTATAAGAGGAAATCTACTTTAGGTTTTTTAAGGGCATTTTTTGGTTATGATTTTATGTGACTAATTAGGTGCAGTTTTCCTATTATGCTAAGTGCTTTATTCAGTGACAACCAAATATTTTGCAGAATTTTGTAATAAGCTGTGAAGTGGCACAGACTTGAGTTTTGTCTGATTGGGTCCAAATTTTCCTAAGTGAAGAAAGCTCTTCCCTATCTTACAGTCAATCCTCGTATCTGCTTCACTTCACAGTATTCAGACTACAGACACTGGAAAGAATACGAGAGTAGTTCTGGAGGGCCTGGGCCATGTGAAGTTATAGAAATGAAACTTCCTAGAGTGACACTTTGGCACTTGGGAGGTCTGCCTGGGAGCTCCTTACTCCTCCTAAACCTGCAGCATGTCCTCTCCTTAATCACACAGGACAGGGTCAAATGAAGCAGATTTCCGCAGCTGCATTATGGATGTGGCATGCTCTACGCTCCAGCTGGACATCAGTTTGATATGAAAAGGGAGCACTGTGATAACTTACTATATAACCAGTGTTGGGAGCTTCTTTGGATGTAGAGACCTCTTTAAAAACCGGTAGACTTGGTCTATTAATGGAGAGAATTGATCAATAAACTGAACTTTCTTAGATTTACCTTCCTTTGATTTCTTTTAATATTGGGAATTGAGTCACACTTGTGATCACTTTCGCCTTTGGTGCTGAGCAGCCTGCCAAGAGTGCCACACCTGCTAGGTTCTTTGAGTTACTCCTATCCAATTTCCTCTTTATTTCAGGGGCTTTTTGTATCCCATGGGAAGGTTTAATTGCTCTGTTACTATTTTCTTGTCTTTTTTAATCATTAAAATGTTATAAGTATTTAAAAGCTGAATATTTTCCAATATTCCAATATGGTTAGAGGTTTTTTTTGAGGGTGGGGAGATAGTCTAAGCTCATAAGTGCTTTCTTCAAAACAGTGGTAATACTTGGCTTTTTTTTTTTTTAAAGTAAACCTAGATTTGTGTATATTTTTTGGTTTTTCTTTCATTTATGTGTCATATCAAAAGGAAGTCCAGTATTGTATGTGGTGTCATTAGTGTGCTGGGTGCCAAAAAAACATGAATTTAACTTTAGATATTTTCCTAACTAGATAGCAGGAAGGAAGCCCCTTAATTTTCCTAGTTCTCAATTTCCTTGTCTATTTAATGAGAAGGTAGGTTGGGATGGTGATTTCTGAGATTATTACTATGTAACTTTTTATGGTCTTTGTTTTTACCATTTTAAAATTTAATAGTTAAATGAATTAAAATAGATTTATGGCTTTTAGTGTGCTAAGACATTTTACATAGCTTTCTTCCTAAATCTTTATGAAACTATTCATGTAAAAGTATAAATCAAGGCCGGATGCGGCGGCTCATGCCTGTAATCCCAGCACTTTAGGAGGCCGAGGGGGCTGGATCACGAGGTCAGTAGTTTGAGACCAGCCTGACCAACATGGTGAAACCCCGTCTATACTAAAAATAAAAAAAAATTAGCCAGGCGTGGTGGCAGGCACTTGTAATCCCAGCTACTCAGGAAGCGGAGGCAGAAGAACCGCTTGAATCTGGGAGATGGAGGTTTTAATAAGCCGAGATCGTGCCACTGCACTCCAAGAGTGGTGACAGAGTGAGACTCTGTCTCAAAAAAAAAAAAAAAGTATAAATCAAGATGGAATAATTATGGATTCATTATTTCATGATATGTGTGACTCAAAGGATTATAAAAAACAACAAAATGACATTCTCCTAAGAAGTACAGCTATGTACTATGGGCAAAATGAAATGTAAAAACAATCACAGTCATGTAATTTTAAGTTAATCCACATTCCAGGAAAGTCAATCAGGTTGCCAGCATTTGACTTAAGTTGTATGATCACTTTGATGATGTTTTGGTTGGTAGTTAAAGAATTCTCTTACTTTACTGTTGACTTGAGAAAATATGATTTGGAAGTTTCGAAAAAAATTATATTCTGAAGCCAAATGTAAATTTTAAACTCATTAGGATTATGTTCATTTTCATTGGGATTGAAGTTTTTCTGGATATAGCAAACATTTGTTTTCATAGCGGTGCATGCATTGTATGTTTTGCTTACATTATTCCCTTTGAAAAAGAGTGCTTCATTGTAAAAAACCTTACAAATTCCAGAGTGAAATGTGTGGGCACTGGCAGGGCAGGAGGAGAATCCCTGTGCTGGAACTGGGGCTGGATGAATAGTGACCACTTGCTCAGACCCGCCTTTGAGTCAGGCAACGCCTTCTGTGGTTGCTTCACCTTTGCTTTGACAGTTGTGGTTTTGGTTATCCCCCTGTTTGTTTCTGAGACTCTGTGAAATATTCTGTTACTTTGTTGCATCCTGATGCTCCCCCTTTTCACGGCTTCAATAGGATCCTCAGTAGCTTAGAGTCCTACTTACTCCTCTCTCCAGCTCTATTTTCTGCCCTTCCATCCATTAAAGACCATCTTGAGTTTCCCCTTCTACATGAAGACTTCCTTTGCCCTCCTGGCTAGATGTGATCTTTTCCTGTACTGCTTTACTACTGTGCCACTCTGCTTTGTAGTTACTTAGGTACATGCATCATTCTTCCCATGTTGGCTCCACATACAATAAAATGAGAACTAACGTTTATATGATATGAGTTTACAGTGCCACTGTTTTAGCATCTCATTTATTCTCATAATAGGCTCATCTATCTGAAACAGATAGATGATAGTTTTAATTTTTTAATGTGATAGATGAAGAGATTTTCCTAGCTAATATATTATTTTGTCTAAGATTACATAGGAAAGAGATGATGTTGGCTTGTTAATTTAAGCCAAGTTTGTGGAACCCCTGAGTCTTTGCTGTTTTTGCCTTTTGTTATTGTGATCAACCGAATCCTGAGGGCATAAGCTCCTTGACCTGTGTGGGTGTCCCCTGCAGTGTCCAGCAGAGCACCACCTGACATCTGTGGACTGTAGTAAATCCTGGTGTGCAATTAAATGCCAAAAGCTAATAGTCAAGATAGAGGTGAATTCATTTGTAATAAAGATGTCTGGCATTTGCTGAATGCTTTCTGTTTGCCTGGCACTGTGGTAGCTACTTTACGTACCTAATTTCTTTTATTCTTTATTTTTAACATTTTATTACAGAAAATTGCAAGAATGTACAGCATAAATACCAGGCGTGGTGGCTCACTCCTGTAATCCCAGTATTTTGGGAGGCTGAGGTGGGTGGACTGCTTGAGCTCAGGAGTTTGAGACTATTCTGGACAACATAGTGAGACACCACCTCCACAAAAAAGTACAAAAATTAGCTGGGCATAGTGGTGCACACCTATAGATCCAGCTACTTAGGAGTCTGAAGTAGGATGATCGCCTGAACCTGGGAGGTAAAGGCTGCAGTGAGCTATGATCATGCCACCATAGTTCAGTCTGAGTGACGAAGCTCTGTCTCAAAAACAAAACAAAACAAAACAAAACAAAACAAAACCCCTAAAGATAAACAGTAGAGAAAAGGGTAGAATGAACTCTCATCTGCCTACAACCCCTGTTCAAGAATGATTAGCAATCTTTTTCTCATTTATCTCCATTCTTCTACTTTAAAAGTGTTTTATATTCTGAAATAAGTTCACACTTATAGAAAAGTCCCCAAAATAAAAAATCACAAAACTACATGTAACTGTACACAGATTGATTTATTAATATTTTATCCCAATTTGTATGTTGTTTTTTCTCTTCCTCTCTGTCATTCTGTACTTTCTTCTCTCTCCCCACCCCCCGTCTCTCTCTGTCTATGTCTCTCTCTCTCTCTCACACACACACACACACACACACACACACACCCCCCACAGTTTTTTTTAACCACTTAAGGTAAGTTGCATGCATCCTATTACTCCTAAACACTTCAATGTGTATTTCCTGAAAGAGGGTATTGCTTATGCTACCACAGTATAACAGTAAATTTAACATCCAAATGTCCTCAAAAGCCATTTGCTTCTACGTCAATAAAAATAAGGAAATGGTATTTTCCTCAGTATTTTAAAATCTCTTTATAGCGTTGTTTGTATTTCACTTAACTTGGAATTTTTCAATTAGGTTTTCTTGTAACCACTCTGCTATCAATTTATCTATCTTAAACTAAAAGCCCCATGAGGCAGCACACACCTCTTTTCCTCCTGTTTATTTTATTTTATTAAAAAAAAAATTTTTTTTTTTGGGGGGGAGGAAGGCAGGAAGGGAGGGAAGAAGGACGGTAGGGAGGAAGGAAGGGATGAAGGAAGGAAGGAAGGAAGGAAGGGAGGAAGCGGGGAGGGAGGGAGAGAGGGAAGGGAAGGAAGGAAATCAAGCAATGAGAGAGACATTGCGGACCTGGATCTAGAGGTTTACAAGTTGATTTCTTTTTTTTTGAGAGAAGGAAAGAAAAAAAAATAATAAGTAAAAGAGAGGAAGAAAGAGGAAGAAAAAGAGGGAGAGTAAATGGAAATATGGCTTTATTTTGAAAAAAATTGGGTATTAATAATGACCAATCAATGTTTCATTTAAACTTATGGGTAGGTGTGATGTGGTATTGACAAGAATGTATATTTTGTGTATTTGAAGTGGAGAGCTCTATAAATACTTATTAAGTTTACTTGTTCCGTATCTGAGTTCGAGTCCTTGATATCCTTATTAATTT